TTGAAGAGATATTCCCTTCAAGTTGTGCTCTAGCTCTTGATAGTACTATGCTAGAAGATAGAGCTATATTAGCCCCGACATTGGAAGTTGTTGAAGCAGTGAACAATTACATGATGTCACAGAACAGTTCCGAAGAACGTGTATATTACAGTGCAGATACCATATGCCAATCTGACATGAACTATAGTTTGGTTGGAGACTTGCACACCACTGAGTTTCTAAATACCATAAAATGTTCAGGGGTTCCTAATCATGCATTAAGACTCAAAGTTGGAACACCGATTATGTTGATGCGTAATATCGACCATGCTAATGGGTTGTGTAATGGCACAAGACTGATTGTAACACGGCTTGGGAATCGTGTCTTAGAAGCGAAACAACTAACTGGAAAGAATGCTGGGGAAAAGATATTACTTCCTAGGATCTCATTGACACCATCAGATACAAGGTTACATTTTAAGTTTCAAAGAAAACAATTTCCAGTCATGGTTTCTTACGCAATGACAATAAACAAAAGCCAAGGTCAATCGCTATCCAAGGTTGGTGTTCTTCTTAAAAAACCAGTATTTTGTCATGGGCAGTTGTATGTTGCAATGTCAAGGGTTAGAAGTCATTCGGGATTGAGGATTTTGATATGCAATGATCAAGATAAAGCAGATTGTGAAACGACAAATGTAGTGTATAAAGAGGTTTTCACGAATATTTGACATGTTTCTGAAATTCTATTTACATAGAAATGAGGAACTGATTGTGCAAATATGTTGTGTTTTATCCTCTTAACCCATTACATTTAGATATCTAAATACATGGCTTTCTACAGTTTCGGCCACAAAATTCAACATTTTTGAGCTAAAAAGTTTACAGTTTGGAAAAAAGAATTTATTTGTACACAATAATGACACTTGATACTCGACTCATCACAAAAAAAACTTGCACCTTTACTTTGTCAGTTTTGCATATTTAGATATTGCATGCATCAAGGAATGAACATCAATTCAAAATTTCAATTAAAACATCATAAAAAAATATTAAAGCAACACTAATTTTAAAAAAAAATGCCCTCATCCTTCCAAATTACCTTAATATGCACAAAAAACTACATCTGATTTCATATTTTACATTGAAAATTAAAGATGCAAAAAGAGAAATTTAATTGTCGATTAGCTGTTCTTACCTTGACATATCACTCTACATCCAGCTCGGATTTCTATAAAATCTTGCGATTTTCCCTTCTCGAATTGATCTGGCCTTAAATTTTCCGAAAACGCTGCACGTGTACTGTCACTCGCCGGAAAAATTCGTCGTAAAATTCTTCATCTTTACATTTCTTTCTACTGGTCTTTTTTCTCTATCTGGTCCGAAAATGAAATGGGATGAGTTCGCAACTGTAGGCCTCATGTTTAATAACTAAATACTTAAAGAAATAGCTGTTGACACGTGGATTCAAGTCAAAAGTAAACTAACTTATAAAATACTATACTTAAGTATACACCACATAAATAATTCGAATAGTGAAATTAAAAAATTACATTACATTATTGTTACTACCTTCATCCTAAAAAAAATTCTAACTTTGACTTTTCCCCATTTTTAATTTTTGCCTTTGACTTCTAATTTTACCCTCTTTAAAAAAGATTTTTTGAATTTTTTTTATAATCATTCAAAATATAGAGTTAGAAGATAATTGGTGTAAATACATGAGGGTATAAAAGTCATTTGTCATCTTTTTTTCTAATGGGACGGTAGTTTTAGGACGAAGAAAAAAGAAAAGTGGGAAGCAAGTTTTAGGACGGAGGGAGTATTAATATATGAAATATTTTATAAAGGAAATGGAATATAAAACATACTTTCTTTGTCTTATTGTATTTGTTTAGTTTGACTTTTTCGAGTTAACCTTGACAAACTTTGAATTACAAATTTTACAACTAACTTATACATTCAAATACTATGGAATACTTTATTTAATATGTGTTGCAATATATGTTTTACGAAATATAAATTATTAATTTTACTACAGTGCAATACATTTTCCCGTGCATCGCACGGGTGGAGTACTAGATGGTTATAGCTAGAGGTGGCAATTGGGTCAACTAGATCGGTTTCGGTTTGGATTTTTTCGGTTCGGATATCTTTCGATTATATGTTATAATTGGTTCGGTTCGGATCGGTTAAATTTCGGTTCGGATTTGATTCAGTTCTATACATTTTTCGGTTCGGTTCAGATACGGTTCGGTTATAAATTGGTTCGGAGAGATTTTGGTTCGAATACAATTTGAGTCGGATATATTTCGGTTTCGGGTCTAGTTTGGCTCGGATATATTTCGGTTTCGGATCAAATATATTTTGGATATATATTATTTTCTAATTAAAATTTAACTATCCATGTTTCTTTTTATGTTTTATCACATTTATCAATCTATCATCAATTCAATACCTCATATTATTTTATATTTTTTTCTAATTATATTATCTCTACCCTAAATAATCTTCCCTTTTTGACTTTTTAGTCATATTTTACAAATTTGGACTACAAATTATGAAAACATATATATTTAATCATGATATAAATTTAATATAATTAAATTGATTTTAAAATTTAGTTTTGAAATATCAAATTTTTCTCACATCTACTAATATCCTTATGTAGTTAAATGAAAAGATAAAAGATAAATTTAAATAGTGTTATGTTCCATTTGAATATAATTTGGTAAAAAATGAGTAAAATTGGGTGAAATTAAGTGAATTTTATTCAATTGAGTGCAAAATTTATAAATTATTGAGTGTATTTGGTTGAAAATAGATAAAATTAAATTTAATAGAGTCAAATATAATTAATTTTATAACTAAATGAAATGGTGTAGATCAAATTTAAAAATGATAACACTAAATACTGCCGCTAGAGAGTCTTTTCAAAATGCTAACACTAGCATCTAATTTTATTGCCTAATATTGAGTGAATTGGTTTGAAACTAATCAAATTAACTCTCAAATCAATAAAATTTAATGTAATGGGATGAAATTAGGATAAAATCTAGTTATTCCATACAATTCATCATATAATCCTTTCGTCCCAAAAAGAATATCACACTTCATTATTGCGTTATCATTTATATGTATAACTTATCTTTAACTTCTACATAAAATAAATTTAAGGCATGAAATTTTATACTTTTTTCTCAAGAAGATAATCCATTTTATGAGGGAATGAGCAAGTAATGTAATTATTTCAAATGGTAAAATAAAAGTAAAAATTTAAAAATATAATATGCTTATAGAAAGGCAAACATAGTTCCGAATTATCGATTTTAATTCTAATCGGGTTCGGATATTATCGGTTTCGGGTTTTATCGGTTTCGGGTATTATCGGTTTCGGATCTAATCGGTTTCGGGTTTAATCGGTTCGAATATTATCGGTTTCGGATCTAATCGGTTTCGGATTTAAATCGGATATGAATTACTCCGTATTTAGTTCGGTTTCGGTTCGATTCAGATCATTTCGGGTTTTCGGTTATAGATCGGATCTTCATTTTTTGGGTCATTTCGATTTTGGATATTTCGGTTCGGGTAATCGGTTCCGATTCTGTTTTGCCAGGTCTATTTATAGCTGGCCTATTGTGGATCATGGCAAAGTGAATTGGATGGATCTGGTTTGGAATGATCTCACTGTTCCTAAACAAAGATTCATCATATAGTTGATTATGGGAAACATGATTCAAACGGAAAAGAGACTTAATAATTCATGGTTATAAATTAGGAGTGTATGCTTTGTAACAAAGGAGAAGAGGATATAAACCCGTTTTTTGGGATTGTTCATCTTTCAACAGCAACCGTGCGGCTCAACACATCATCTTTCCACAGCAACCGGGTGGCTCAATTATACTTTGCAGTAAAATTACCAGAATGAATTATTACTTGCGCGTTCCAACAAATCTTACCGTCTAAATATAATATTTACTAGTACATTTTCTCAAAGTTCAGAGAACAGATATTCCACAACAATTACTCATGGAAAATGAAACATATCAAGTTCAAAAAGGCAAGGTGTCCAAGGAAATGTACCGCGAAGATGCAATAGTGTACACAAAAATTGATTCATTCTCGGACGGACGTCTACCAAGGTTTAAGGTCTTCCAGTGGACCAGCGGTCCAGTTCAAGACCTTTTCACCAGGTTTCTAGTAAACACTATACATACATTCATACATAATACACTTATATATAAACGAACTTAATTATCACATAATTAAAATGTCAACATATTTATTTAATATGTACGTCACACGTCCCATATTATTTCACATCATTCCATTTAATTTTCTACTCCGTTCAATTGTTCTATGTGTATGACCCTTCTAAGTATTCATAACGATGACAATACTATTAATCACAAATACTACTATAAACGATAAATGGTATCTAGCAACACATTATCGCTACCCCTGTTATAAACATAAAGTTCATTGTAACAATGCCTTCAATGCTATATTACATTTGTATAACTCTTATCCGTTTATCTCTAATGTCTAGATTTAACACAAGGTACCTTTTTAGAGTTAAGTCATTGGTTTACTAATTCTCAGATTGACTTGTGGAATTCAAATAACATTAATATCGTATCACATATATTAATTTATCTGGGAATGACCATACATTTCCCAAGTCATATCAATCAGTGGGCCCGAAGACATTACACTTCATCGCAATGGAAGGGATAAATTGTTTCTACATCATTCATGCCTTTACATATGTTTAATTATATACCCAAAACATAACTATACGTCCACCAGTATTTCAGATGGCATTAGATATGAATCAAAGCATATAGGCCAACATATTAAAGATCATAATGACCTCAAGTCTAAGGATAGTTATACCAATGGTCGAATAAGAATACTACTAACACATTTAAAATAGTACCCATGTAGTATTCTCATGGTGGTTCAGTCCAGTACCATATCCCAGATATGTGCCTACATATAGATTGCGATATCACAATATCCATATATAGCCTATGAGACGCAGCAATCTTGTCTCATACGTATTAGTCTTAGTATATTATGACGTCCGTATTTTCATAATATTCGACTAAGGACATATTAGACATAGCCTCTATTAATGTAACAACCTCATAATCAGCACATCGTAGTTCTAATATATGCTACCAGAGCACTAAGTCTATGGACCAAAGCCATGTTTAGATACACGAGATGTCTAAACAATCTTTAGGGCCTTTTATTCTTGATAAATATTCAGATACTTTCATACATTGGCCTCTAGGGCTCATATATCCAACACATTACCACAATGTGAATTGCTATTTTGAGATAAAAACATGGAGCTCCTTTTTTGATACTTTTTCTATGTTTTACTCTGATTTAGGGTGATTTCTAAAATTATAAATAAAAATAAGCTATTTATACACCAAAAGTTGTATATCAAATGACTTAAATTTACCATTGGTCCTTCAACTTTATGAATTGTGCACGATTGGTCTTTCAAGTTTCAAAAGTTCATGAATAATCCTTCAACTTTATGAATTGTGCACGATTGGTCCTTGAAGAACTATTTAGGGACTTTTGAAACTTGAAAAAGTAATCGTGCACAACTCATAAAGGTGAAGGACCAATAGTCGAGTTTAGCATATATCAAATTGTACATCACATGTATGTACCTTAATTTTGTGCGAGTGTGATGATTCACACAGGTATAAAAAGCTCGCGCAATTTTTTTATTACACTTACATATTGTCTTGGTGTGAATAAACTATCAAAATGTTAGTGTATAACTTTGGTGTAAATTTTAGAATTAACTCGGTTGGCTACCCCTAGCATGGTTTTACTCGGTAATAATCAAATTAAAATTGTACTCCATATCTCGGAGATCATGATATTCAGAATTAGCAACCAGGTAGTTGTTCATTAAAAAAAAAAGCAATGGTAGAGAGTCGTGCGTTACTTTGGACCAATAATGTCGCAAGAAAAAACTCATTTTCTGTTTCATCATCTCTCATTTTTCTTTCTATCAAAACCTAATATCAGGAAGGAGAAATAATTTGGGTAAATTAACACAAATTAAAACAGAAGCCTTTCATCAACATAAAACACAACACAGCAGACAAGAATATGGATAAAAAGGAGAAGGCAAAAGAAAAAAGAGAGAAGAGACGCCAAGAGATTTCTCTTCTCCGCACCATTCCTTATTCAGATCACCAGAGGTGAGCGAAAGATCTACAACGATTGGTTTTTTATACATTCTCTTTTTTTTTTTTTGTTTAGATCTTGAAGCGAAGAGTCGCAAGGATAAATAATTTTTTTTTAATAAATACTCCCTCTCCCAAACACTATGTTTGGTTCAAGGAATTTGAGAGGGAAAAAGAAAAAAAATGAGAAGGAAAACATTTTTTTTGTTTGGTTAGAGAGAAAAAAAAAACTGAAAGGAAAAGAAAAAGAGAAAGAAAAATGTACTAAGAGGAGGGAAAACTAAATCCTCTCATTTAGGTGAGGAAAATGATGAAAAATCATTGTTATTTCTTTTCTTACTAGATTTCTTGAACCAAACATAGTGTAAATGATTTGCATACTTTACTATTCAAAAATCGTAGAAACTTTTGTTTATTTGTGTGTTTTTATTGACTATTTAATGAAATAAAATATTCTTTTCACGTCTTGTTATGTACAACTTTTGATGTACTACTTTTAAATATGTAAGTTTTATTTATATACAAATTTTAAAATAAAATGAATTAAAAAATATGATATTTTACTTCGTTTTTGCGTAAAGAGTAAATGATTTAAAACGGAGCGAGTATTAGATTTTAGATGTTAAAGAGTCACATCTATTAAAATAATATTTTTATATTTAAATTATTAACTAAGTTCTCTTTACATTTTATTTAATTTTCCATTATTTTCTAAACATTTTTTAACATGTATAGATAATTTTTTCTTTTGTGTGTGGGGGTATAACTTTCATTACTCTTCCAAAAATTTTAATGTTAGTTTATACTCTCTCCGTCCCCCATAGATCTTTCCATTAACCTTTTTTAGTTATCCCTCATAAATCTTCTCATTACTTTTTTTAACAATTAAAATACCACAACTACCTCACTTACTTTATTTATTACACCTCACCTAGCTCAATTAATATACTCCACATATTTTCATTAAGGGTATTATGGTAAACTTTCACCTTTTTTCAACACTCCTTAAAAACTATAAAAAATCAAAACGACAAAATCTTAGGGGATGGAGGGAGTAACTATTAGTCCAAAGCTTTTTTGGGTAGTCCCAATAAATTTGGGTACTTTTCTTATTTGGGAAACTACTAAAGATAAACTTACTACTTAAAGACTTTATCTTCGAGGGACATAATAGTGACTTACAGCAAAAAAAGAAAATGTGGATGATTAATTTGGAATGGAGCAAGTATTCAATTTTAAGATATATTGTACATAAAAACATGTGAACTCGCGCAATGAAACCTAGGGTACACATATATAATCAGGTGAAAACAATCTTTATTTCTTAGAAAAAAACAATCATTTTGTCTTGTATTTAGGGTAGAAAATGATCGAGTAGGATCATATTAACAAAATTGTGAAGATGAGATTTTTTGTGAATTGTGATGACCAACCAGATGGTGGACATCAGAAACAATTGCTGTGGTGACGGGTGGGAACAGAGGAATTGGATTTGAGATCGCCCACCAACTTGCAATGCATGGTTTGACCGTGGTGCTCACTTCACGAGAGACGGCCGTTGGTGAAGAAGCAGTGAAGGTTCTAAAAGAAGGAGGATTGAATGTTGTATTTCATCAACTCGATATTATAGACCACACGTCTATCCAGTCATTTGCTAATTGGTTAAAGGAAGAATATGGTGGTTTAGACATATTGGTATGCTATCCTTTACTCTCTCTATTACCCCATTATTAGTGTCCCTATTACTCCGTATTATATTTCCTGTGTCTCATAAAGAAAGAGACATTTGATTAAAGTGGTAAAATAAGAGAGAAATAATTTTGTGTTACTTTCCAAAAATACTCTTGATGTTTTGAGTAAAGTAAGATGTGATGTGTAGATTATTAAAAAAAAAGAATGATGTGATAAGTAGGGTATGAAAAAGTAAAGGGTAAAACTAATTTTTTAATAGAAATGAGAAGAGATTGTGTGACACCATATTTTTGAAACGTGAAAGACTTTTTGGGACGGAGGGATTATCATATTTTTTGACAATGAAGTTTTTTAATCATTCTTCCAACTATTATGATAATAAATAAATATATATATATATATATATATATATATATATATATATCATTTTTTTTGTCTTCGTTTTCATCATAAAAACAATTCCTTTTGTTTGGAAAATAATTTAATATGAGTAAATTCCCAAAATAGTCCTTTGTAATAAGGGATTTTTCCAAATTAGTCCTCAGTAAGTTTTAATTACCTACATGGTCCTCTATAATTGAGATTTATTCCCAAAATAGTCCTTTGTAATAAGATATTTTTCCAAATCAGTCCTCAATAAGTTTTAATTACCTAGGTGGTCCTCTATAATTAAGATTTATCCCCAAGATGGTCCTTCATAAATAATGTTACTCAAATGAGGATTAATTGAGGTTATTTTTTTCTGCTAAATTTAGAATTAATTCTTAAAATAATCATTTATAATGAAATGCTTTCCCAAAATGATTTTTCTAATTAAAGATGTGTATTTGATTTGAAATTTAAAAGATTTTTTTTAAGTTTTAAATAATTCATAAATTATTTATNCAAATCAAATACACATCTTTAATTAGAAAAACCATTTTGGGAAAGCACTTCATAATAAATGATTATTTTAAAAATTAATTCTAAATTTAGCATAGAAAAAATAACCTTAATTAATCCTCATTTGAGTATCATTATTTATGAAGGACCATCTTGGGGATAAATCTCAATTATAGAGGACCACCTAGGTAATTAAAACTTATTGAAGACTGATTTGGGAAAATATCTCATTACAAAGGACTATTTTGGGAATAAATCTCAATTATAGAGGACCATGTAAGTAATTAAAACTTATTGAGGACTAATTTGGGAAAATCCCTTATTACAAAGGACTATTTTGGGAATTTACTCATTTAATATTCCCAAAACTGGATGACAAGGAAGCTTTTATAAAACTCTAGAAGTTGGTGGAGATCTATATATAATACTCCAAAATAATACATTATTGAACCATTGAGAGAGGTGTGGAACTCTTTATAATGTTCTAGAAGAGCATAGAACTCTCTAAGACTATTCTACATCTTTCCAGAGAAGCGTGCATGTTTCAAAAGTGCCTAGAAAAAAAATAAATCCTCTAGGATATTCTAAACATATGTGGGACCCACTAGATTCTTCTAGAATATATGGAGCTTGTAGAAATTCTTTAGTAGAGGTGTAGTATGGAAAATTATAGAGTCTAGTCTTGGTGATTATCATTAACAAGGGTGTGGAGGTTTTTATAGGAAACCTAACATAAGAAGACTTCTTGAGAGTAGTGGTTATGAGTGAGTGCAGAGAAGTTACCTCAGTTCAAAGAATAAGTGAACTAGCTATTCAGTTGTAATCTCGTTTCTACATTTCACTATATAAAACAAATTATTTTTAATCATGCCTTTGTGTTATATGGGGTGTTAGGCTATGTTCTTTTCGGTTGAAAAACAGAACTGGATGTTGAATGAAACTGAAAGAAAATTGAAGAAACTAAACACTAAGGAGTTGGAAGAAACTCGAAGGTGTTGAAAAAAATTTGGAGTTGTAAGAAACTGGAAGAAGTTGAAAGAAACTAGAAATAGTTAGAAAAAACTGGAAGCAGTTGATGGAAGAAACTGGAAAGAGTTTGAAGAAACTGGTAAGGGTTGGATTTTTTTAAAGAGTTTTAAAAAAATAATAAAAATATTAAAATAATTGTTTTAATTTATGAAATTCATATTTTTATTTAAAAAATGTATACCATACGTTTAAAAAAATTTAATCTCTTTTTATTTTCTTATTTGCCATTATATTTTATCTCAAATCGTATTTGTCATTTTTTTGTGACTCGCACTCTTTCTTTGCTTTTTAAACTCAATATCAATCACATATATTTTTGTTTTTAGTCATATAAAAATAATCGATGTAACAAAAATAAAAAGACTAACGGAGCAATACATTTTACTAATCTTAGTTGAAAAAAAAACTGAACTTAAAAAATATAACGATGTCTTGAACGAACAATAATAATAAAAATAATAGTATTAATAAAAATAATAATAAAAAAATAATAATAGTAATAAAAATACATGGAGAACATATCATTTTTAGAGCCATTATTTGGGAAGTAGAAAAAGATTTAAGGAAATGGGAATAGTTGAAAAATTAGAAGAAAATGGAAAAAAACTAAAAGAAAATGGAATAAACTCGAAAAACTAAAAGTAACTGGAAGAAACTAGAAGTTAAAAGTTTAAGTTCTAAAGAATAGCTCTTAGTGTGTGTACAAAATCTCAATTGTGTGAATTGGGGAAAAAGGTCGAGGTATATATTTTCTCCTAACATCTGTTTCAAAGCCAAGGTTTTGGAGGTATAGAAATTAGTAGAGTTTGTTAGTGTGATGGTAGCAAAAATGTTGAAGTTGTTCGAGAAACAACATTTTGATCACGAACTAGAGGATAAGAAACCTAACTTCAAGTTTAATGTGTTAAAGGAAATTACTCTAAAGTATTGAAAAAGGAAAACAGGTTCGAGAGCATCTATGCATCAAAGTCATTGAAAAAGCTTGTTATGTTTGGCAATGGAGTCATACTCAATCAAAATGGAGGAGGAGGTAATCTTCATGACCACATGAATCACATTTAATCAACTAGTGTGACAAATGGTGAATGTTGATGGTGCGATTAAAGATGAGGAGCTAGCATTGTTGTTGGTATCATTATTAAAGTCCTAAAAGCCATTGGTTCATACATAATTTGTAGGGGAAAAAAATATCATGACTGATGAGATGATGTCATAAGTTGCACCATGACTGGAACAAGATATGGCAATAGGGACGAGAATAGGGAAATACATACTTTTCCAAAATTTACAAAAGTTTAGGTGTCGATACGTTAGAGATGCAAAGCAGAACTTGTTTAATTTGAAGAATCCATGGAACATAGGACTGATTGATATTGTGTGTTAGCGAGAGGTTGATAAGAAATGACACCAGGATTAACATAGGAGGTTAGCACATACTAGTTGAAGGGGCGTGTAAGCAAAGGAGGAACTCACCAAGCACAATTTATAAGGTGAAGCAATTGTACCTTACTTCTTATATATCATGGCAATTTTGTAATTTACTTAAACTTGAATTACTAAGTACTAGCATACAGAAGCATAAACATGTTTTATCCACTGCTCTACAAATGAGTACTGGGTGAGAATGAGTACAAGAACACAAATGAATGAACATATTTTATTTCCAAAATGAATTTTACATCTGTCTTTATCGTTGAGCAAACCATTGTGATGTCGCTAAGCAAACCACCGACGATAATGACCATGGAATGAACACTATGTTGCTTTAGAATTAACACTGCGTTTTTTGCGAATGAACACTACACTGAGAAAGCTTAGAATGAAAACTTCTTTGTTTCAGAATGAACACACTACGTTCTTCGTGAATCATTATTATAGGTCTACTAATCAAAAGTGTGAAAATTAATATTATGTTGCTTCATAATGAATACTACATTGGTTCAAAATGAATTTTTTTTGAATCTACTTAGCTCTAGGTACACCAAGATGTATAATATATGTTCTCCTCAAGAAAGAGACATGGTGGTCATAAAGGAAGACCAAAAGCACAATCTTATCGAGATCAAAGTGATGTGGAATGCTATGACTATAGAGAGAAGAACCACATGCAGGTAAGATGTTCTCAAATGAGGAAGGACTTACAGAAGTTCAAAGAAAGATCACAAAGAAAGGAATACAGGGACTCCCATACTAATGAGGTCAGTGATGTTGACGATAGTGATATTTACTTGGCAACAAGTAGTGAGTTTGTTAGGCTTTAGTGGGTGATAAATTGTGTTGCCTCAATGCATATCAGTCAAGATACAGACTTGAAAGACATCCCAAAGATAAGTGGCGGACAAACATGGGCCAGTGGGGTCGAGTGACCCCACTAAATTGTTTCATAATGTTATATTACACTACCTCTTCCTCATGATTAATCACTATCCTCATGCCTGGCAAGAAGTGAGATATGACAAAGATTTAATAAGTTTCGTTAAGCACACAAATCCTCAAGTCATATCATTTTTGAAATCCAGTGATACGATAACGTGTCAAGCATAGGGGAAAGATTGAGAAATTGGAGGAAAAGATGAAGAATTGAGAGAAGAACAAGATCTGAGAAGAGAAGGAGATAAGGGAGAAGAGAAGGTGCTGAATGACTAGAGAAGCGAGGGGGAGAGATTAGGATTTAGGAGTGATAATATTATTGTTCTTTATTGATATCTCAATAACCATTTATATGGGTATATAGAGCTAAAATATTGAACTAACCCTAATAATGATAAACCCCTAATCATAATAGAAGTCTAGTCCTATTCGTTCAATAAAAGCATCAAGGTAAAGAACCAAAAAAACCTAACTCTCGAAGGAGTGTTATAATTCACAGTAAAAAGAAAATATAAATATAATAATAATTGAACTATCTAATCAAACAATTAAAATATATATATAACTAAATAATATAACTTATTCATTAACCCTTCTGTATTATTGTCACCCTGATAGAGACACACCTTGTCCTCAAGGTGTAAGTATGAAAACAAAAGGTGCGCAATGACCCTGCGCTTGTCATGCATGTCTAGTGAGGGGTCCGATTCAAGCTTCAAAAT